CTAGGATATAGATCTTAATATGAGACAAAGTAGAATTCAGGCCAAAAGGCATTATTTAAGATGAAGAAGAATACTTTTAACAGTGAAGGTTTAAGATTCTAAATCTCTCTCTACCAAATAGCTACGTATTAGATAACAAAGTAACTTTCATGAAGCAAGTTTCTGGAGATACCAGGGAAAATGGGCACAAATGCATTAGTAGTAGGAGACTTTTAATTCACTGTCCTCGGTCCAGAACAGATCAAGTGGGGAAAAAAATATGGGTATAGAAGACCTAAACAATTAAGTCAGTAGGGTAGATTTGATTAATATATATTGAACTCAACCCTGAAACAGAACACCTCTTCTTTTTAGGTCTCATGGAACGTTCACAAAAACTCTTATATAGGCCCCAAAGAAAACTTGAGTAAATTTCATAAAGGAGAAATAGTACAGGAAAATCACAAGGCAGTAAAAATAAAGGCCCTTCTGCTTAAATATTAAATTCAAACAACTCTTGAATCAATGGAGAATACAAATGGAAATTGTAGGATGTATAGATGATCATAGTAATGTAAACATTAGGACTGTGTGGGATCTAGCTGACACAGTGCTCAGAGAAAATTTGAAGCCTTAAATACATTAGCAACAAAAAAATAATAAAAATGAGTCAGTTAAACATTTAACTCAAAAAGTTAGTAAAAGAACTAAGTAAAACAAAAGAAAATAGAGGAAGGAATTAATAAAAATAAAAGCAGAAATTAATGAATTAAAAAACAAAAAGAGTGGAATTAATAAATGCAAATGTTGGCTCTTTGAAAGTACTCAGTAAACAGACCAAGTAACTTGCTAAGCTGATCAATTTTTTCTTCTTCTTTCTTTTTTTTGAGGAAGATTAGCCCTGAGCTAACATCTACTGCCAATCCTCCTCTTTTTGCTGAGGAAGACTGGCCCTGAGCTAACATCCATTCCCATCTTCCACTACTTTATATGTGGGACGCCTGTCACAGCATGGCATGCCAAGTGGTGCATAGTTCTGCACCCAGGATCCAAACCGGCGAACCCCGGGCCACCGAAGCAGAACATGCAAACTTAACCACTGCACCACCAGGCCAGCCCCTAAGCTGATCAGTTTTTAAAAGGAGAGTATGGGGCAATAACACAAATATGCCTAATAAATAAGGACTAATAAGTAAACATAAACAGCAAAAATTGAAAGAATCATAAGTCTGTTATTCAAGTCTAAGGAAATAAATTAGAAAATCTGTAAAATAAATAAATAAAGGGTTATCATAGGAAAATACAATTTCCCAAATATGACCTTGAATAAAGAAAATTCAAGTAGATCAGTTTCCCTAGAAGAAAAAGAGAAAATTGCCAAAGGGACAACTCCCGCAAAAAAGCATCAGGCCCAGATGTTTCACAGGAGACTTCTACTAAATCCTTAAAGAACCAGTAACTCCAATGCTGCTATGAAAACTGTTCCAGAGCATGAAAAAGAAGGAAAGCTCCCACATTTTTTATAAGGCAAGGATAACGTTGATATCAAAATCTGACAAAGACTGCACAGAAGCAAACTATAGACTCAATCTCACTTATGGCTCTAGAAGCAAAACTCTTTTAAACAAATGGAATCCAGCAGCATATTAGTAGAATAATACATCATGATCAAGAGAAGTTCATTCAAGATATGAAAAGATGGTTAACTATTACAAAATCTATTAATATATTTTTTTACATTGATAGACCTAAGGAGAAAAATCATATGGTCATCTCCAATTACCTAATGAAAAGCATTTGACAAAATTCAATACCCAATCTTTATAGGTACTATTTAATAAAACGGTGATCAATGGCCATTTCCTTAGATTATATACATTTATATCTATATGGATATATGTATATATATCTCAAATCCCAAAATCATGCTCAATAATGATACAGTAGGCTTTCCCATTGAGAAAGGAGCTACTGTTTACAATGGTACTATAAATACTAGCCAGCTTGGACAAGAGAAAGAAATTGGACAAATATCAATTTGAAGCAAGGAAGTAGCTGTCACTTTTGGCACATGATATGAATGTGTGTGTGGAAAACCCAACACAGTTTACTGGAAAACTACTCCAAAAAGAGAACTCAATGAGAGCGCAGGATACAAAATTAATAGAAATCATTAGCTTTTATGTAACAATAGCAAGAAGATAGACTATATATATATATAATGGAAGGGGAAAAAAGCCACATTTAGAAACAAACCAAAAGATTAAAAACTTAGGAATAAGCAAATGCAATATGTCAAAAGATTTAAAACAATACCTAAAGATAAAAAAGAAGCCGTATGGGCCAGCCTCAGTGACCTAGTGGTTAAGTTCAACATGCTCCGCTTCGATGGCCCGTGTTTTTTCCCAGATGCAGACCTATACCACTTGTCTGTCAGTGGCCATGCTGTCACAGTGGCTCACATACAAAACTAGGAAGATTGGCAATAGATGTTAGCTCAGGGTGAATCTTCCTCAGCCCCCCCCCCCCAAAAAAAAGCCATAAGTCAAGACAACATGTTCTCCATGGGAGGACTCAACATTGTGTCAATTCTCCATAAATTAATTTATTAATTTGATACAGATTCAATAAAAACACTAACATTCTCTTTTTTCTAAAATTAGACAAAAAGTATTCTAAAGTTTGTATAGTAAAATAAACAGTAAAAGCAAGGAAAATGGAGGGAATGGGAAGCAATGCATAGGGGTTATTGAAATCATACTCATATAAAGGCTCAGTATTTAAAACAATGGAGTACCTAGCTTGTAAATAAACAAAGCGGACATAAGGAATGGAAATCCAGAAATACACCTAAATATATACAGGAGTGTAAATCCTAACCTACATTCTAATAGATACAGGAATATAAAAACCTAAATAGTAAATCCAGAAATAAAACTAAATACAGGAAGTTAGTACATGATAAAGATGGTATCTGAAGTTAGTAGGAAAAGGTAGACTTTTCAATAAATGGTTTTGGAGTAATAAGAAAAAGTAAACCTTGAACATACATTATATACCAGGATATACTCCGGGTCAGTCAAAATTTAAATGTAAAGAATAAACCATAAATGAATTTGCTAGAAGAAAAATATGGATGAGTTTCTTCATAACCTTGGCGTGCAGAAGGTCTTTCTAACTAAATAAAATTAAGAAAGCATTTTTTAAAAAGTGGTAAATTTGGATATAAAATAATAGAAATCATGACACAGCCATACAATGGACTGTTTTTCAGCCTTAGAAAGAAATGAGCTATCAAGTTATAAAAAGATGTGGAGGAACCTTAAATGCCTATTACTAAGTGAAAAAAAGCTAGTCTGAAAAGGCTACATACTGTATGATTATAAGTAAATGGCGCTTTGGAAAAAGCAGAACTATGGAGAGAGTAAAACTGTCAGTGGCTGCCAGAAGGGAGGGAGGGGGGACAGAGGAGGAGAAAGATGAATAGGTGGAGCACAGAAAAGTTTCAGGACAGGGAAACTTCTGGGTGAGACTATGATGGTGGATACATGTTATTAAACATTGTCAAAACCCAGAGAATGTACACCACCAAGAGGGAACCCTAATGTAAACTATGGACTTGGGTTGATAATGGTGTGTCAGTGTGGGTTCATCACTTGTAACAAATGTACCACCACTGCCATGCAGGATTTGAGCAGCTGTGGGGTGAGGTATGTGGAAACCCTCTATATTTTTCACTCCATTTTTTTGTGAAACTAAAACTGCTCTAGTAAATAAAATCTATTTTAAAAAAATCAAAATCTTGTGAAAGGTAAAAAATATATCATAAGCAAAATCAACAAAGTCTGACAACCTAATAGAAAAATGGGCAAATGATATAGACAAGAATAAACAGAAAAGGGATAGAAAAGGAAATATGGATAACTCATAACCATATGCAAGAGATACTCGACATTGTTTATAGTATGAGAAATACAAATTATAACTATACAGAACTAACATTTTTCACTTAAGTTGGTAAAAATCTTAAAGTGTTACAGAAACAAAGTATTAACTCTGATAAGACTCTAGGGCAGAAGCTACTCATATATTACTCTTGGGAGTGTAAAAGGTACAGTGGCCGTGGAGGGCAACTTGGCAATATCAGTCAAAATTAAAATTGCATTTATCCTTTGACCTAACAGTTTTACTTCTGGAAATTTATAGCTAATCTTGCCCATGAATGAAATAACAGGTCCATATGGCCATTTATTTCAGCTTTGTCTGTGAAAATGGCAAAAGATTAGAAGCTACTCAGTGTTCATCAGTAACAGACTGAGTAATTAAATTATGGTACATGTTACAGTGTAATACTGTGCCATGTGAATGCATTGATGTAAAATAAGAGATTTTTTAAAGGTATAGCACATACGTCCTGAGTTTTTCTACTAAAGTAACTTTAACAGAAAGAATATATAAACTAGTGGTATATGGCATTGCAGCTTGGAGTGACCACTTTTTTAAATGTTTCTGTTTTATCTTTAAAATCTGTGGGCTTACAGTAGGGTTCTCTGTAGTTAGTCTGTTTTAATTTAAAATTAGTTTTTACAACTGCTCTTATCATTGAGTAATCCTGCACTTTGTTTATTATGTGCCTTCTGTTACCCCGATACACTGCCACCCATCCTTGTCTGAGAAGCATATTGTGTAGCAGAGTTAATTCCTCAGATACTACCCTGTATTGTTTTTGCAAATTTTTTCCAAATTGACTTTTCAGCTAAAGGACTGTAATCTGTAAACAATTAGAATAGCCCTATATCTACCTCAAAATAATTTAACAAGTTTCTCTTCTTTCTCGTATTGAGTATTCCCAACAAATGATATCTAAACCGATTTGATTTGTTGGCATTCTGCATTATTAATGATGTAGTAGTTTGTCCAGTATATTTCTATGTAAAAAAGTGTTTCTATGTTACATGTTCAAAATATTTCCATGTAGAAATACATGTTCAAAATATTTCTATGTAAAATATTCTCTTTAGCAGGATGAAGTTAAAGGAAGTAGATCGTACAGCCATGCAGGCATGGAGCCCTGCCCAGAATCATCCCATTTACCTAGCTACAGGTAAGTTCAACAGAGACAAGATGGAAGGAATCATCTAATTTCTTCTCTTCCACATCTGACTTATTCGTACTTGTCCTTTGAGATTCAGTTCAAGCTTCATCTCCTCTAGAATGCCTCTTCTTTCCTGGCAGTGTACCTCTATCCTCCCTATAAGCTGAGTTCAATGACCTTCCTGTGTTCCCATAGCACCTTGCACATCATAACAGTATTCATGATATATTACATTTGTAGTGTCTTCCCCACTTCATAAGAATTGTGTTATATCTTTATTCTTCCAGTTTTAATCACCATAGATAACATGTAAAAAAGTTAGTAAATGTCACTTTGAATGAACGAAGAACAATTTTTATGCTAGCATTTGTATGTAAAAGGAGTTAGAGTTATATCATTTGTGACTATAAGTGGATAACAGTAAATCACAGGACTGTTTATACAGAGAGCTTTTGAAATATGTACAGGCTTAAAAATTTAAAATTTTGGGGGCCAGCCTGGTGGTGCAGCAGTTAAGTTCGCACGTTCTGCTTTGGTGGCCCGAAGTTTGCCGGTTCGGATCCCGGGTGCAGACCTGCGCACTGTGTGTCAAGCCATGCTGTGGCAGGCGTCCCACATATAAAGTAGAGGATGATGGGCACAGATGGTAGCTCAGAGCCAGTCTTCCTCAGCAAAAAGAGGAGGATTGGCAGCAAATGTTAGCTCAGGGCTAATCTTCAAAATAATAAAAAATTAAAATTATCTAGCCATTCTAGCAAACATCATCTGCAAGCCTTGTGTCAGAATCGCATTTCTATAGTAATTTAAGCATCAACTTAGTGGCATATGTGCTGAGATTTCAGCCACTAATGCAGCATTCGTGAGTGAGATAATTGAAAAACATACATTTAATTTCTATTTTGTATGGTTTTCTCTGAGTCTTTTATTTTTGCGTGTGTGGTTACCATAAATGTATTTTCTACAGGAACATCTGCTCAGCAGTTGGATGCAACATTTAGTACCAATGCTTCCCTTGAGATATTTGAATTAGACCTTTCTGATCCATCCTTGGATATGAAATCTTGTGCCACTTTCTCTTCTTCTCACAGGTATGAGAGTCAACCTTAAATTCACATGATTATTCACCTATATGTTGTGGTTGATGCCTAGTTTGTCTATAAATATGCCATTATAAGAAACTGCAAGAAGTACATACCATCAGTGTCATGAAGTATTTTGTGAAAAAATCTTTGAGTGAATTACTATGGAAGTAAAAGAAGTGTCTATTCTGTTGACTTTTTTATTGCTGACTGTTCTGTGTAGGATAGGAAGGAGAAGCTCTAGTTTCTAGTATTTTATTTCCTTGTGGTATAGTAGAGTTACTTTCTTTTTTCTCCTTCATCTTACCTGTTTACAAAAAAGGTAGGTATGCCTAGAAAAAGGGGTAGTTGGATGAATAGTAAGATGTTAATAGTGATTATCTCTGAATAGTAGGTTGTTTTTCTTTTTTTCCTTGGACTTATCTATATTTAAAAATATATTTCACAGAGAATTTTGTTGACGTAATTTCTGATGCAGTATGTATTTGGATCACCTTTCCAAGTACTTGCGCCCTATTGTAATGCAGAGAAAGGACACTTTTATTTGAGTGGTAAAATATGCTTTATTGCCTCAATAGTATGGCAGATTTTGGTGAAGAGATTATACCTCAGCTAACAGAATATGACTCAAATCATGGAGTGTCATGGACCTGTCATTCTTCGGAGCCCTCTCGCTGTGATGGGAACCCCAGACCCCTTTTGTCTAGCTGCACCATTTGTCTTGTCGTATACCTCCACACCACCTTCGTAGTTTATCTCCATGCCAACCCATAATCTTTTTTTCTCCACCAGTAGGGGTACTTGTCATGATAGACAGAATTTTGATGTCACTTTTCTACTGTCAGAATACATTGTTTTTCTTAGAAAATTTCAATGACTCCCTTAGCAACCTTTACTTTTTAATAGGCCACTGGTCATTGAGTACTTCTAGTCACGTAGAATCAAGGGACGTGGTTGATTAGCTCTATTTTACAGATGAACCAAAGGCAGTTTAGGGAGATTAAGTAACTTGCTAGGGTCTCACAGTTTCTAAATGTTAAAAACATTCTTATGCCCGTATCTTTTGACACAGAAATCAAGTATACTTTGTCACACTATATCATGTCTACAAAAGAGTTTTTTTTCTTTAAGATTACAAAATCAAATATGCACATGTGAATGTAAATAAAAACTAAAATGCCATTTCATCGAGTCATGCACAGTTACCAGGAATAGAGGAGAAGCAATGTTTTTTGGAGTGTTTATGAAAACATAAAGAATTAAATGTATAATTTCAAATTCTTTTCTATATTTATTTGACTTCAAAAATGAGTTATTTTCTTCATTTTCTCTTGAAGGTACCACAAGTTGATTTGGGGCCCTCATAAGATGGATTCCAAAGGAAGTGTCTCGGGAGTTCTGATTGCAGGTGGTGAAAATGGAAATATTATTCTTTATGATCCTTCTAAAATTATAGCTGGAGACAAGGAAGTTGTGGTTGCTCAGAATGACAAACATACTGGCCCAGTGAGAGCCTTGGATGTGAACATTTTCCAGGTTAGACTTTTGATGTTTATTCATAACTCTTGAGCTATGTGCTGGTTATTTGAAATAAGTGTATGAATCTACTATGCCTCACTCTTGGAACTGAAAGCTAAAAATGTGTGCCTGTACAGGTTGATGAATGAGTGTATTTGTTTGAAGAATGGATGGCTCAGAGTTGGGTTTAGAGCGAATAGTCCTGACTCCATGGAGGGGATCAGGCTGATGGGTTTACCTCTTGAAGTCTGGAGATGTCATGCCTTCTGATTGGAAATTTTTAAAAATGAGGAGCCCCAAAGGTTAGAATCCTTGCCTTTTAAAAGTTTGTGCTAGTTCAGCATGGGCTGGTGCTTGGTGTCTGGGCTAATCCACTGTTTTATTAATTGAGAAATTTTATCTTTATGACAAAGAGACTACTATATGAAATAATTAGAAATCTACACAAATAGGGGCTGACCCGGTGGCGCAGCGGTTAAGAGAAGAATTTATGAAAGTACACAGTAAAGGGCAAAGGTCAATATGTGAAACTCATTCTCTTCCTATACTTCATATCACAGTTTTAGGGTCTTTTGACCTAAAGTCTACGACAGACATAACCCAGGAATATTACCACCTGAAACAAGATTGAGTGTAAACTAGAAATACATGAGGATTTACAGGTGCCTTTACTAGCCCTATCTTGGTCTGGGTCCTGAAGCTGGCTTTGAGGTATCCCGGGATAGATGCCATTATTTTAGGATTCAGTTATTTGTCTGAAAGCAATAATTGGTGACCTATTTTTGTCTCCCACAATCAGATCCTCTTCCAAAGATGCAAAACCACAACTGATAATCCCCATCTGATTACATGATTGTTTAAGAATTTGTCCATGTAATTATTTTTTTAATGTCTTGTATTAAAATGTCAGTAGACATATTACCCTTTTAGTTAGAGTTTTATAGTATGTGTCTCTAAAAACCTACTTAAATTTCAAATTGTTCTGCATAGTATTTAGAAATTCTTGTGTTTTGCTTTTTTTATTAAATAGAAAAATTGTGTGCCCTAAAACTGATAGATCTTTCCAGCTCTGAACTGAATTATTCTGAGTTCTCTTAATTATTCATAAGTGCTATTTAGTTATTAATTATTTTCTATTGCAGACTAATTTGGTAGCCTCTGGTGCTAATGAATCTGAAATCTATATTTGGGATCTAAACAATTTTGCAACTCCAATGACACCAGGAGCCAAAACACAGGTATTACATTGCTTTCAAGGTAATCAAAGGAGCCAAAATCAGTTTTTCTACACTTCATTTTTTTCACATAAAATGTGTTGGTTTAAAATCAATGTTTAGATGTCATTGATTTTACTTCTGTGCAGTAAAGTATTAATAAATATGTCTCTTCAAAGTATCAGTGAATCCTTCAATAGCAAATATTTATTCAGTGCCTACCACCCGCCAGCCACTATTAAATGTACTAGACACACAGTAGTGAGTGAAATAGACAAGTCTACAATAATTTTTTTAGATATAGTGTTTTATATAGCATAGTATTTTATATCATATAATGTTTTAACAATATCCAACCTTAGAATAAAAATCATAGACTAGAAACGAAACGTCTTTAAAAAAAGCCTTATCCCCTTTCCTATGTGTTTCTGGTAAGTTAAGGAAGAACAGTCCTCCTTTGAGTTTCTTTGTGTTATATAGACTACTCAGTTTGAGTAGCCATTATAATGGGCCCTAACATTTTGGCAATCTGAGAGGTTGCATAATAACCGCATCTGATCTGCCATTTATAAAGATATTTTTCTAATGGTCTAGGCTGTAACTTTTGCTCTGCCTAATTGTTCATCATATTGACCAACATCTACTTTGTGGTCCATTATCTGTCTTGTGGCAGTTGCAAAATAAAGAAATGTGCTTAATTTATAACAGGAGCTTAATAAATGCCTGGTGAATGAGACAGTATCAAACAAGGCAAAATACATGAATTGGCATACACTTGTGCTTTAAATTGTCTTGAATATATTGAGAATTTAAAAATATAAAGCAAACTCATGGAACGAATAGATCAGATTTTTAAGTAATCCATTTTTTAAAAGGTCAGATTTTGTAGTTAAATTTGATTATAAGTGAAAAAATGGTTTTTAATAGCTTATTTCTTATAGCCCCCAGAAGATATTAGCTGCATTGCATGGAACAGACAAGTTCAGCATATTTTAGCATCAGCCAGTCCCAGTGGCCGGGCCACTGTATGGGATCTTAGGAAAAATGAACCTATAATCAAAGTCAGTGATCATAGTAACAGGGTAAGTATATGATTGATTTGTGACAAATGTGTTGTTTTTCTGCTGTAGGTATTCCTATGTTGTTTGTCAGAGTTGGTAAAAAATCAAATTTCTAGAAAGTTAAATCCTGTCTTTTCATGGACCAGTCATGTGGGAATGAGAGCTTTTTTTCCTTGGAGAAAATAATAAAATTCTCAATAAACCATGTTTGATATTATTAATGAGGAAGAAAGGGATTGGTTAATCAACGAGCTTATTCCATGGTAAACTGGTTGTTTTGCTTTGCTAGCTGTTTCAAAGCATCACGGCAACTTCTTCTTTTTCTTTTTTAAAGATTTTATTTTTCCTTTTTCTCCCCAAAGACCCCCAGTACATAGTTGCATATTTTTAGTTGTGGGTCCTTCTAGTTGTGGCATGTGGGATGCCGCCTCAGCATGGCTTGATGAGCGCACCGAGGATCTGAACTGGCGAAACCCTGGGCCGCTGAAGCGGAGTGCGCAAACTTAACCACTCGGCCACGGGGGGGCCGGCACCACAGCAACTTCTTAATTCACGTATAGCTTTCTCTAGAATGTACAAATTTTTCTGCTAGTAATTTTATGACTGAACTTGTAGTTTCCCAACTCCTGGCTTCATCTCTTCTGATTAGTTACTGCTAAAGTGAGCTAATCTTCTTCCCCTACTTGCCCAATAGACGCTGCTGTGTAACACTTTAAATTTTCCACCTTACAAATTCCTAATATTATGTCATCATAATATTATGTGCTGTAAAATAATTTAGGCACAATTTAGGGCCTTGTTTTATTAGTTGGTTTTTAATTACATTTTTTAGTTTGACATTTTCAGAAATGAGCTTGCCTAAATCAAAGAATATATACATAATTTTAAAGCAACAACAATTACAAGAAAAAATTGTTTAGAAGAATATTTCTTCATGGTACTGTTTTTCAATGAATCAAGAGTTTTAAAACAAATCTTAATGGAATAAAGCATACAATAAGCATTTCAGTCATCTTCTAGAATACTTAATAGGATCTGAACTTGCAGGTAATTCTCAATAATAATGTTAACTTATCACATGAGAAAATTTAAATGGTAGTTGTTGCTTTAGACATTTTATCTTGATTTTTCTGATAAAATAGAGGAAAGGTGTGGATTATTTTTGTAACTAAAATCTTTTATCTCTTTATTTTCATTTTTACGAAAGTAGTAAATTTTAAGTTTTTGTGAGACTTTTCCCTTGTTAAAATTTTGACTTTTAGAATTTTTGGTATAGAATTATTCTAGTCCAGAATGGTTTTGTGTATCAAATAGCTGGATGAATTAAAACATTTAAACTTTTTACTTTTAAGACTGCTGTTTAATACTCTTTAATAAAATTTGATAGTTTCAGGTTTTGTGTTTTTTTAAAATAAACTAAGCCTGAGCTCGTGCTTTCTACTGTTTGTTTCAACAAAGGCATATTCCTCAAGTTCATTTTGGCTTTTCATCAAGTAATATGATTGATAAAATGTGAGCCTTAACTATCTGCAGATGCATTGCTCTGGGTTGGCCTGGCATCCTGATGTTGCTACTCAGATGGTTCTTGCCTCTGAGGATGATAGGTTACCAGTGGTCCAGATGTGGGATCTTCGCTTCGCCACCTCTCCACTCCGTGTCCTCGAAAACCATGCCAGGTATGGTGCTCCTCTCCCAAGGAACTTAATTTATTTATTTTTAAAAACATGTTTACTTACTACTATGAATTCTCAGATAATTTTTATTAAATTTGGCAATCTACTTTGTCTCTATCTTGTAAAAGTTAGTATGGATGTCTTTTGTTTTAAGCAATAGTCATCTCCTTTTCTATACCAAAAAATGGTAGCCAAATAATTTCATAACAACACAAAAATGTGTCAAAGGATTTTCTACTACTTAGTGTATCACAACACTTTGGGACAACTCTTGGCATTATACACTTTGATCTTTATTAAGGACATCATACTATGAAGAGTCTGCTGTAACATTCAATTTCAAGCAACAATTGAAAAGTTTGTTTTATTTCTAAGTTTTTATTTTAATTTAAAATCAGACATTTTTGAGAAATTAGGTGGTTCATTCTGCTTTTAGTAAATTTAATAAATGTATGGATGCTCTAAAAAGATACAAGAATTGTCTCATGTTAGTTTCAATACCATTAAATTAATTAATAATTTGGCAAATTTCCTGTCATTGATATTCAGGTACCCAGGGAGTTTATGCATATTTGTTCAATGTTTTTAGACAAGAAAGATATCTCTTTTAAAGATTTTATTTTTCCTTTTTCTCTCCAAAGCCCCCTGGTACACAGTTGTATATTTTTAGTTGTGGGTCCTTCTAGTTGTGGCATGTGAGATGCTACCTCAGCATGGCTTGATGAGCCGTGCCATGTCCACACCCAGGATCCAAACTGGCGAAACCGTGGGCTGCCGAAGCAGAGAGCACAAACTTAGCCCTTGGCTGTGGAGCTGGCCCCACAAATCTCTTTTAATGTTATAGTGTTTTCTAAGTACTTTTGGGCTTTTTTCTTCTTTCCTACTTAGGGATATATAGACTAAAGCTTTAAATCCCTTTTTCCCCCGCATTTGCACACTAAGAAGCCTTAAAGTTTGTGACCTCTGTGAGCTTCTTACAAAGGATGAAAGAGTCCAGTCAAAATGTAATCCTATTTAGATGTTATACTTTAGTCAGCTTTTTGACTAAAGCTGGGATGATTCTGAGAAGCTTTAATATTTTCCTCATGTTAGATAAGGTTTTATTCATTCATTCATCACATACTTACTGAACATATATGTAGTCTGTGCCAAGCACTGTACTAGGGTTCAGTAATATAACAGACAAAAATCCCTTGCCCTCAGGGAGCTTACATTGTAGTGGGAGGATAACTAACACTTAGGTAACATGTAAAGTGCTTAAAGTGCACTTTAAATGTTAGGTTGATTAATCCTCATAGCAGACCTATGGTGTAGATGCTATTGTCCCATTTTACAGGTTGGAAATTGAAGCTCGGCAAGGTTAAACTTGGCCTGAGTCACAAAACTAGTCAGGTGCTGACTTGCAACCCAAACATTCAGATCCCAGAGTCCATGCTCTTAACACTACATTCTACCGCCAATTTTAGGAGTGGTCATAATTTAGCAAGACAGAAAATCATGCTGGGTGGTAGGAGCAAATCAACCTCCCTAATACTCTATTTTCTCCCTCTAAGAAAAGCAAGAGTTGCATTATCTGATCATTAAGGCCCCTTTCAGCTCTACAATTCTGAGATTTTTTTTTTAATACTTAGAACCTAAATGTCTTTAAAATGTGATATTAAATATGAGACTAAAAATCCCCTATACTGCACTATCCAGATAAAAACAGAACTAACAGTTTGTCTTTTCTATATCCATGCCTTTGTTGTTTAGAGATAGAAGAAGGAAAGTTAACATTACCATACCATGGGGAAAAATACTAGAAACTAGAATTTAAATACTAGATACTAAGAAATACTAGAAATACTACTAGAAAATACCAGACACAAAAATATACTAAAAATTAGAATTATATTTGCATATTTCTTAAAATAAAAACATACAAATTAATATCCTTCAATCCTCCTGAAAACATTACAGTGTTCTAAAATGCATAGTTTTGAAAAAAATCCAAAATAAAGATAAGCCTCACTGTCAGTGTGTATATTTAGTGGTGGTGTTCTTTCCGCCAAAACTTGTTTTTTAATTTGATGATATTTCTTACAATCTAAGTCCTCTCCTAATCAGGTAAATATAGTGTAGGGAAAGGACCCAAATTGTTTAAGAATGTATTTTGTTTCCAACCTTTTATTTTTAAAAAGAACTATAAAATTGTATCTTTGGTACTTAGATGTATAACACTTCTTTGTGAAATATATTTTAAATTTTTTCTTTTAATTAAAAAAACTTCATGTGATAGGAAAACTTCTCTGAAAGCAAAAGCTAGAAAATGTAAAGAAAAAGGGGAAAATTTGAAATATTTATGTTTCCAACCCATCCATAGGTAAAAAATTTTATTGTGCTTATCTTTATTTATTAATATAGACAAAACCTTATTTATGCACATAGTTCACCTTCTTCATTAATTGTGGGCATTGTATTTTTTTTTTCAAGACAGATTAGCTTTGAACTAACATACACTGCCAATCCTCTTCTTTTTGCTGAGGAAGACTGGCCCTGAACTAACATCTGTGCCATCTTCCTCTATTTTATATGTGGGGTGCCTGCCACAGCATGGCTTGATAAGCAATACGTAGGTCCATGCCCAGGATCCAAACTGGTGAGCCCTGGGCCACCAAAGCAGAGTGCACACACTTAACCTCTACACCACTGGGCCGACCCCTCTACAACAATTTTTAAGTGCACATTTTCACATTAAAAGATTATCTGTAATTTATTGTTACATGGTCCATGTTGGGCATTTGTTTTCGTTTTTTGCTATCGTATACTACACGCTATATTGAATGTCTTAGTAATGAACAAAGAGCATACACCTTCCTAAATTGCTTCCCAGAAAGATGATATGGAATTATACTTCTGTTAGCAGTGTATGTCTCCAAAGCCTGGACATAAATAATTTGGAGATTTGGTTTTCTGAAGATTAAAAATTTCTTCATCTCTGTGGTTTTCTTTTTGTGTTTTTTTATTTTAATTTTATTGAGGCCATCATAGTTTCTAAAATTGTGAGATTTCAGTTGTACATTATTATTTGTCAGTGACCATATAAATGTGCCCCTTTACTCCTTGTGCCCACCCCCCACCCCCCTTCCCCTCTGGTAACCATTAAACCGTTCTTTGTCCATGTGTTAGTTTACCTTCCACATGTGAGGGAAATCACATGGTGTTTGTCTTTCTCTGTCTGGCTTATTTTGCTTAACATAATACCCTCAAGGTCCATCCACGTGGTTGCAAAAGGGGTGACTTTGTCTTTTTCTTTATGGCTGAGTCGTATTCCATTCTGTGTGTGTGTGTGTGTGTATGTATATATATGTATATGTATATATATATATATATATACTACATCTTCTTTATCCATTCATCAGTCAGTGGGCAGTTGGGTTGCATCCACTTCTTAGCTACTGTGAATAATGCTACAAGGAACATAGGGGTGCATAAGTCTATTGGAATTCTTGACTTCAAGTTTGTATAAATACCCAGTAATGGGAAAGCTGGGTTGTATGGTATTTCTATTTTTAATTTTTTGAGAAATCTCCATACTATTTTCCATTGTGGCTGCACCAGTTGGCATTCCCACAGCACTGTGTGAGGGTTCCCTTTTCTCCACATCCTCCCCAACATTTATTATTTTTTGTCTTGGTGATTATAGCCATTCTAACGGGTCTAAGGTGATGTTTTAGTGTAGTTTTGATTTGCATTTCCCTGATGATTAGTGATGTTGAACATCTTTTCATGTGCTTATTGGCCATCTGTATATCTTCTTTGGAAAAACGTCTGTTCATATCCTCTGCCCATTTTTTGACCAGGTTTGTTTTTTTGTTGTTGAGTTGTATGAGTTCTTTATAGATTTTGGAGATTAACCCCTTGTTGGGTTTATGATTTGAAAATATTTTCTCCCAGTTGGTGGGTTGTCTTTTCATTTAATTCATGGTTTCCTTTGCTGTGCAGAAGCTGTTTAGTCTGATGAAGTCTCACTTGTTTATTTCTTCTTTTGATCCCCTTGTCCAAGTAGATATGGTATTTAAAAAGGTCCTTCTAAGACTGAAGTCAGAGAGTGTACTGCGTATATTTTCTTCTAGAACTTTTATGGTTTCAGGACTTACCTTCAAGTCTGATCCATTTTGAATTAATTTTTGTGTATAGTGAAAGATAATGATCTATTTTCATCCTTTTGCATGTGGCTGTCCAGTTTTCCTAACACCATTTGTTGAAGAGACTTTCCTTTCTCTATTGTATGTTCTTAATTCCTTTGGTGAAGATTAGCTGTCCATAGATGTGGGGTTTTGTTTCTGGGCTTTTAATTCTGTTCCATTGATCTGTGTGTCTGTTTTTGTTCCAGTACCATGCTTTTTTGATTTCTGTAGCTTTGTAGTGTATATTGAAGTCATGGATCGTGGTGCTTCCAGCTTCATTGTTTTTTCTCAGGAGTGCTTTTGCTATTCAGGGTCTTTTTTTGCCCCATGTGAATTTTAGGATTTTTTGTTCTATTTCTCTGAAGAATGTCATTGGGATTCTGATTAGGATTGTGTTGAATCTGTAGATTGCTTTAGGTATTATGGACATTTTAACTGTGTTTGTTCTTCCAATCCATGTGCATGGCATATCTTTCCATTTCTTTTTGTCACCATTAATTTCTTTCAATAATGTCTTATAGTTTTCATTGTATAAGTTTTTCACCTCCTTGATTGAGTTTATTCCCAGATATTTTATTCTTTTGTTGCGATTATAAATGGGATTGTATTCTTGAGTTCTGTTTCCGCTATTTTGTTATTAGAATATAGAAATGCAACTGATATTTGTAAGTTGATTTTGTGCCCTGCAACTTTGGTGTAGTTGTTGATTATTTCTAATAGTTTTCTGTTGGATTCTTTAGGGTTTTCTACATGTAGAATAATGTCATCTGCAAACAACGAGAGTTTCACGACTTCATTGCCTATTTGGATTCCTTTTATTTCTTTTCCTTGTGT